CCCCCCATCCCCCCCTGCCGCTCTCTTGCATAAAGGACAACTCCCTCTCCTCGTTTTCCATCCTGTCCTTCCTAAAAGGCCATATCACTCCATTGCAGCTCACCAGGCATGTGAGCCATCCCACCATGTCTCCATGATCCCAGTGAGGTCCTAGCTCTGTACCTGCAGACAGACTTATGAGTCCTCCTGTTTGCTGCCCATGCTGCATGCAGTAGTGGAAGGGCATTTCAGAGAGATGTTAAGGGTTAGTGTTCTTTACTGCTTATGGGAAGAGATACCATCCTCTCAGCTTCTCCCTCAAGACAGATGGGTGTTTTTGTTGTTTAAAGAACAGTTTGCTCAATCTCCTTGTGCACACATATGTAAAGGCTTGTTACTGTAAAATAAAAATAATTAAAAAAAAGATTTAAGTGTTTTATTTGTGGAGAAGATCACCAACATTAATGACACAGGAAGTGTCAGGAGTATAATTTAAAAGCTCTGCCTTGTGAGGTTGAATCAGGCCTATTATCTTTTGTCTTTGAAATTATTAATGCTGTTGCTGGGTTTTGTGTTTTCTTTTGCCCCAAGGGCTCCCATGGCTGAACGTGCCTCCACTAGGGAATGATCTCCTGCAGAATTTTTCCTGCTCGCTAATACCATCTTGAAAATAAAAAGTCACTGAACTTTAAAAAGGAGATCATAACAGTATTTTTTTGAATCTAACATTTTGATGTTTGATTTTCTTCTGCTCTAGCACAGAAATAGATCTTCTAAAATGAATTCCCTCTATCAGCTCAAGGACAAGCAATGCTCTGTGGCTCAGGGATTTATCTAGGATGTGAGGGTCTCATGATAAAACCCATGCTTCAAGGCCAGCACAGCAAGGACCCCTGTGTCCCTATCCATGAATCTGGGTGAAGTGGGGAGATAGTCATCTTCTATTTGTTTTGATTATTTTTTTTCCTACCCTGCAAATCATGCTGTTCCTTAAGTAATCATTGAGCCTTGGAGTGCCAGAGTTATAGAGCAAGAAAAAAAAGGAGCAGGAGAATCAATTTCAGTTCCTGTAAGCAGGAGATGAGAAGTCTGTTTAAAAATTTTCCTGTAAGCAAGACGACTGTGTGCTGTGTTCCTTACAAGAGTGCTCACTGAGCACCAGAATAACAGTTGCTGACAAAGCTGTAGCAGTGAGCTCAAGTAGCTAGCAATGTAGCAGGAGCCCCTGAAGACCAGTCAAACCGTCCACTGCGGCTTGCCAGGGGGCTTTCAAACCATTGGGATTGATGACAGAGCCCTGGGATTTCACAGTTGGAAAGGAGAGTGAAAGAAAGCAGCTGGAAAGTTGTCTCCTCAGCAGCCCGGAGAGGAGGACTGTAAATAATCATATGGTGCAGAAGGATTAATTAAGTGTTGAAATTTACCTGTGTTATTTCCCTGTTGTCTTTTGCTTTTCTGTCTTCGACAGCATACTGCTTGTGAAGCCAATTAACTGATGTTTGCAAATGGGAATTCAGCTCACTGAGCACCACTAAGTTTATTTTTTTCTGAGGGCTCAAGACAGCATTGGTGACACTAAAGTATGAACTTCTGTTGTCACCAGTCAGCTCCTGGCATAAGGATTATGTGGGATAAAAACTCAAGGAAGGTAATCACACCTTGAACTCTATCTGAGGTTGCCCGCTGTGCTTTTTGGAGAGGTCTAGTCCTGTGCTTCTTTGGGGTCTACTTGGCAAGGCCAACACTGCCAACCTCCCGTGGAATGGCTGGATATTACAGACGGTCTTAGGACGAGCCAGCTGTCTCCCTGAACTCTTCCTCACCTGGTTTCTCTGTGCCTGGCTACCATCTCTTGCCCTCATCCCACTATATGTACTCAGAAACATCACTTGCTTTGATCCTTACATCTGAACTATCTGAAACAACTTTATAGTGCAATATAGTGCACTATATAGCACTATGTTAGTCATGTGTACACTTTATAACTGAAAATTAAGAAATTAATATTGATGTACTTTTATAGCTTTATAAAGAAAAATATACACAAACTCAAATAAGGAAAATAAAGCAAAATTCTTGATGCATCCAGGTGGGCTTATGAGTGTCTCACTGGCCACTTGTGACAGACCGCCCTTTTACAAGGAACTTAGCCAACAGGAATTGCATTTTTAGAAACTTGTTTATAATTATACCTTTAGATACCACTTATATAACTAGAGTAGCAATTTTTAGAGTGAATTCAATTACATGATGCTCAGTCAATCTTTGAATTGGAGTGTTAATCCACTGACATCTAATTCATGCAGATATACAAAAAGCTGTGCCTCTCAACATGAGAACATGCAACAGACTGCATGTGAATACAGAATACATCAACAGAAAGCAGACTGATATTTTGAATAAAATGTGAATAAGGTGGTGCTTATGTTCTTGCTAAAGAGGCTGTCCTGGTTTTCAGCTGGGATAGATTTATTTTTCACAAGAAGCTGGGAGGGGACACAGCCAGGACAGCTGACCCAAACTAACCAAAGGGATATTCCATACCATATGATGTCATGCTCAGCATATAAGGGGAGGGGAGGGGGCTGGCTGGGGAGGAGGAGTTGCTGCGCAGGAGCAGGCTGGGTCTCGGGTTCTGGGCATTGACCAAATTGCATTGTGTATCACCCTCGTTGTATATTCTGTTATAAGTACTGTTGTGGTTATTTCCCTCTCCCTTTGCTGTCACAGTAAACTGCCCTTATCCCAACCGACAAAGTTTTGCCTTTGTCTTCCCACTCTCCTCCCAATCCTGCCGTGGGAGGGGTGAGCGAGCGGCCGCGTGGTGCTCAGCTGCTGGTTGGGGCTGAAGCACAACAGTCCTGTTTGGCACCCACCGTGGGGCACGAAGGGTTGAGGTAATGACAGATCTGACAGGAGTGTGTTAAAACAAAGTTGTGATAACTATAATGTTATTTAAACAGTCACTGGTCACAATGATGCTTTGTTTGGTCACATGGCTGTGGTATGTAAACCTGTACTTGCTGTATGTATTCCCTGTGATGCTGTTTATCACCTCTGGGAGAGGAGTCAGGATTCACATTTTGCTGTACTGTGCAATATCAACTTATGTTATGATAACATCACTGGCCATGAGCCTAAGCTGGTATTTGTATGTGGCATTGCTCTCATGTCTGTGCCTTGGACAGCATCTCTCAGAATTGATTAATAATCACACCCAATCCATGGGGAAGATGGAGGGGATATGTTCTCTTGCTCTTTCACTTTTCCTTTTCCCTCAGGTTGGTTACAACAGCTTCTGAGAATTTTTGATATCTTTTGAATATTCAAGCCAGCATGCTCTTATTTCTATGTCTCCTGAATGTGTTCCACGTATTGTTTAGGGTTACAAAAAATTGTTTTAAGACTAGCACCCAGAGATCTGCCCCGAGGCTGGATAGTAATGGGTGGCATGGCATGTGGGAGAGTAGAGGCATGACATAGATGGTATAGAATAAGGGGTGGATAATATCCTGGGTTTTGGCTAGGGTAGAGTTAATTTTTACAGGAGAGTGGGAGGGGACACAGCCAGGAGGGGACACCGCTGACCCAAACTAGCCAAAATTGTATGATATTCTATACCATGACGTCATGCTCAGTATATAATGGGGGGCTGGCTGGGGAGGAGGGGTTGCTGCTCAGGACAGGCTCAGCATTGGGTTCTGGGCAGTGACATTGTGTATCACCTGTTTTGTATATTCCATTATAAGTACTGTTGTGGTTACTTCCCTCTCCCTTTGCCGTCCCAGTAAACTGTCCTTATCCCAGCCCATGAGGTTTTGCCTTTGTCTTCCAATTCTCCTCCCCATCACATCGA